AGCCTCGCTGGTTGTTTTGCCGTAGAATTTTGCTTGCAACAAGTTTTTCTTTTTAGCATGACAAATACCACTACCAAAGTATTGAACTTCGGCTCCTATAACTACCTCGGATTTGCAGAACCATCCGGCCCATGTGTCGAAGCTGATGTAAAGTCAATTGAAAAGTATGGACTTGGTGTAGCTAGCTCCCGATTAGAAGTCGGCACTTTGGCCATCCATGCAGAATTGGAAAAGCTCGTTGCTGAGTTTGTCGGTCAAGAAGCTGCAATTGTTTTTGGGATGGGATTTGCTACAAATGCTCTCAATATGCCTCGCATATTTGATAAGGTTCGTTACCTTTTGTTTTGACTTTTTCTAACCAAAGGACTTTGACGTTGTACTTACTTATAAGGAGGGTCTGATGTTACACGCTTTAATAAGCACATGGCACAATACCCTTCTCTTCTTACGAGTTAGCCAATTTTTTGGCAACTTTGCTTTGGATAACTGGAAATTTTCAAATATTTACTAAGCTAGATGTCCGGTCGGAAAGTGAGCATCATCGATATTTGATTTGTAATATGCATTAACATTACATGACTGATTGTCACTACTGCCATTAGTCCTTTATTCATTACTTGATAGGCAATGGGTTAATTCACTAAATTTACCGCTTTAAATTGCTCGTTATGTGGTTTAGCATTTTATGTAACCATCTTATCATTGAAAGCTCTTTACACGTAGGAAAGAGACGGTACGCATTTTGAAGTGATTGGGATGAGTTGACTTTAGTAGGGTTCTGAGGGCTCAGCGTGCACTGGTAGACAGCTGCACACATCAGTGAAAAATCGATGTATATGTGCAGAGGTGTGTAGAGTTGAGTACTCAGTGTGGGTCGACGTAATTTTATGCGAGTGGTTGTGTACAAGTGGTGTGTGGTACGGCGTCTGAGGCATGAGTGTCGGTGAGGAATGCTTCTAGCCGATAATCCCAACGTCGGAGAACTTTGTATTGACAATGTTGAGGTCTTCTTGATAACTGTCTCGGCGTATTTCAAATTTAGTGGTTTTTTTAGCCTTGATGCAAAGATTATGGCACGCCATAACACCATTTTTCTGCTATAAACTCTACCACATGCATTTTAACTGATCTTCTGGTTTATATTTTGAAGGGCAGTTCGCAAGATTTATTTTTAGCATTATTCATTTATCCCTTTCTCATCTCGCGTATCAGTAGACCATCGTGACCGTTTTTTATTCCTTCTAATATCTGTTTGAGCACACAATTAATACGTTATTTTATCAGCTTTGATGCATTAAACGTGTAATTTAACAATACTTGTTAGCAAATGCTTATGATTTCTCTTGTTCTCCATGAATAAAAATACACCTTTTCTCCTCCTCTTGAATGTAGAATTCGTGCATAATAAGCGATGAGTTGAATCACACCAGTTTAATTTTGGGGTGTCGCCTCTCGGGAGCCACAATTCGACG